ATCGTGTGCAGAAAAGAAGCAGCACAGCCCAGGGGAAAGTACGGCATTTTGAAAGGAGACCACGTTCTGAATCCTGGCTCTGTCCCCCACTTTAACCTTTACAAGGTCCCAGTGTCTCTCAGCATCAGTTTCCCATATGTAAGGTGGGCTGGCTTTACAGCTAGTTTTATAGGTCAGTAATGAACATGAGGCAATGCCTGGCTCAGGGTGGGAACTCAGTAAACAGCAGCAAATCACAGTGGGACAACTAGGAGGGTGCAGGCCAGAGCACTGGGCTCCTGGAAAACAGCCTGATACATAAGCACAGGCTCCACGCCTGGGCATCGCGCTGCACCAAAACGAGATGTGCAGAGTGGGTTCTCGGTCTTTGGATGGCCTTCCTGCTTTGACATGGGAAAGGTAAACAGGAGGTCCCAGCCCCAACTGCTAAAAATAGGTGATGTCAATAGGCCTTGACAGTTGCTCCGGGACTGGGCAGGGCACTACGGAAACCAGGCCTGGTTCTTTTCAGGGAGCTGGGAATATAAACTGGGTCTGCAGGGGGCAGTGCCGAGAGGCGTGAGGCTGCCAGCCCTCTGATCCGCATGTCGGAGGCTAGGCGGAGGTTTCAGCCTCCATTACGGGGTAATAAGCCAATGGCCAAGTGATCCATTCGCTTCCTGGTTCCAATCACTTCCTAGGTTGTCCAAAATCAGAGACCCCAGCAGCTAGCTCAGCAAACCCTCCCAAAGGTTTGTGTTGATATTTCCAAGGTTTCTCCCACGGGCCATGCAGAGCGTACTGAGAGAGCAGATGCCTGAAACCGCGAAGCCCGAGCGTGGGTCCAAACTGCCACTAAGTGCCTCGCCAACATTTAAAGGCTTCGGTCTCCCCATCCAGGAGATGGAAGGCTCTGACAATTGCTTCTCTAAGTTCCCTCCTGGGACTAAAGCAGATTCTAGATTGTGTGCCACATCCAAGAATCACAGAGTGAAGAAGTCCAGTCTTAGTATCTAATCGGAAAGCGCTGATTGTTTACACTCATAAATTACAAACTGGAGGCCACAGAGGCAAAGGAAGCTCAGAGTCTACACAGAGGAAACACGCTCTGGATGCAGGACATGCTTCGTGAAGGTGGTCACCCGAGATAGTCTTGAAGGATGGCCAGAGGTTTAAAGAGGGTGCAAAAAGGACACCTGCCTAGGGAACAAATGGCACAAGCAAAGATGCAGGGGTCAATGTGGGCACCGTCAGAAGCCAGGCCAGAAATCAAGGATGAGGAATAGGGGCAAAAGGGGTGCTGGTGGCCGCTGCTGCAGCTCATCTGCTAAATCTGCAGTGTCAAAGGAAGATGAGGACCCTCCTACATCTGCAGAGAAGAAAAGTCTATCACCTTCATAGAGTGGGGTGCTGGAAAGGCTTCAGAGCCTGAAGGGCTGAGCTTCTGCAGGTATCGGACTTGGGAGGGACTCCTGATCCTGCCCGTGAACACCCCACCCCTCCTGCTGCACGGCGGTAGGGCGTGGGCACAGGCAGGTCAGAAAGCTTGCCAGCCATGTCTGCAGAGGTTCCTGGCAAAGTCTTTGGTGATGAGATCACACCCTTGGCTTTCTGAAAATCCAAGTGGCTGAAGGAGGGTCACCTGGAGGACATGCCACCTGAGCAACAGACACTGGGCAGAAATGGTGGACACCTTCTCCTCCCTAACCAGAAAAGACATTTGGGACCTCTTTTCAGACTCAGACTCACCAAAGAATAGAACTTGGAGAGCTCTTAGAAAATAGGCCCAAGCCCATTTTGCAGATGGGGATACTAGGCCACGGGACAAACAGTGGCTCATCTAAAGCCCAGCGAATGAGTCAGAGGTAAAGCCAGGAGTAGAGTCCAGGTAGGAGACCTCATGATGGCAGTAGATATTCTGAAGCTGAGAAGACCACATGCTATAAGAAACAAACGGAGGCCTTGGGGAGACAGGGGTTGGAAGGGAGAGATGCCGGGGACGCCGGAGGATGCCCATGGAGAAAGAATTCTAAAGTTGGCACTCGGGAAGCAACTGGAAATGGGACTGTCAATGCAGGTGTGGAGAGCAAACAAAAGGAGAAACGGGCATACTCCTTCCTCATAAAAAAGGACCGAGAGAGAAAAGAGAATCCTGACGGTGCCGGGAAAGAACACTCAGGGCTTTCTGCCAGATGACTGGGTCCTCTCAGCAGGGGAGGCTGACTTCTGGAAGATTCTGTGGGAACTAGACTAGAGGTCTGTGGTCAAGGTTCAGAGAGAGAACTGTGGGGTGCCTGAGACTCAATTAGGGGCTAACGAGGCTCAAAACACAGCTCCAGGCTTGGACTTTGCTGAACCTCTGAGCTACGCTGGTGCCAAAGGCATTGCTGTGACTCTCCAGCAAAGCCTGGCAGCCTGGAGATGCCCCCGCAGAGGAAACAGATGGCCCTGCCTGTCGTGCTGGGGAGAGGCCAGGGAATCAAAGGCCAAGTGAGGACACAGGTGACATGGCTGAGGCCAGGCTCAGGCTAGGAGGAAGGCAAGGGCGGGAAGAAGTTGGGAGAGGGGAGAATTAGGTAGAAGAGAACATTGAGGGCCAAAACCAGATGGAAGACCAGAAAGGTAGAAGCTAGAGAAGTTACAACAGAATGAAGAAAAACAGGATTCCGCATCTGGGTTAGGGTTAGAGACTGTTGAGTGGTAATAGCACCCAAAGGGACCCTCTTTAAGGTTGGCACAAATGAAACTTAAGTGACAAAAAAAAAACAGTGTTGGGGATATTTAGAAGAGTCAACATTCTTTTCCCAGGAAAAGAGAAAAACTGAAATACCCTGAAGCTTTTATGAATGCAAAGGACAGTTGTGAGGGTAGGGCGCTGGGTGGCACAACTTCCAGGGATGCAGAACTGGACGGAGGGAAAGCTGGCCTGACCCTCCCCAGGGCCCAGTGGATCTAAGTGAGAATCTCCAGCTGGGGAATGGAAAAGGAACAGGGACCACTAATTCAAAGAGGCAACAGCCAGGGCCAGGGTGGCTGGGAGACGGGACTGGAAGGGAATCTGCTATGGGCCATCAGGAAATCCTGATGATGCAGAGGAGTTGCTGGTGGTGCTGAGGGGACACTTCTGAGCTGAGACACCTGGTGAGAGCGCCCAGCCAGGAGGCCCCCAAGCTAGGATGCATTTACATCCAGGCTCCACTCACTCCATGGACCTGGCACTCACTCGCGTTCTCTAGCAGGCTCAATTCTCAGGCACCAATTTTGAGCATGCTCACCTTACAAGTGTCACATGCGGTATCCAGGAAGTACCTGTAAGTGTCTTTCCCATAGAACGGCTTAACCATCGTGAGGCGCTCCAGGATTCTCACTCACCCATCTCCCTGTCAGGGAACTCTGCCTTTAATACACCATGTAAAACAGTACCTCCCCTATCTCTCTCTCTATCCCTTCCTCTGCCCCATTTTTCTTAACCCTCATTATCAACTGTCATATTACACATCTAAAGTTACTGCTTTATTTCCAATGCTTTGAACAGGGCCCAGTTCATAAGAAGCCCTCAATACATATTTTTACGTTGTTGAATAAATCAGCTTTAAAACCCAAGGCTAGATTTTCTTGGGAAGAGGGAATTATGAAATCATTCCTACTTTTTTTTTTTTTTAAAGGTGACCAGAGGTCAGCCAGGTGTGGCACTCTCTGCTGCTAATTCTAACCAGTCTTTTTTTTTTTTTTTGAGAGGTTTTCGCTATAGGGCGCGTGCGCTTGCCAGACAGACAGACAGAGACATAAAGACAGAAAGTGAGAAATCACCCCCCGGGGGGATGATCACGCCGCAATCCCTTCTCCTCCATTCTCCTCTCGGGATCTTGGGCACGCACACGCACACGCGCCCGGCATGAGTTTTAAGCCACCGGGTCCAGGACATGAACCACGGTCGACTACGTGGGAGTCCAGCGACACAGCCATTACGCTAACTGCTGGTTCCCAGAAATCAGTCCTACTTTTTTAAAATTATTGCCAACTTTAGCTCTTTTTACAACTTAATTTTTTTTATTTTTTTTGATTTGACGAAAGAGAGAGAGAAAATGAGAAAGCAAGCAGCCAGGTCTGGGACGCGAACTGTGGGCAGTTATGTGGGAGTCTAGCACCTTAACAGCAATGCCACCTGCTGGCCCCCATCCCTACTTTTTAACAGAGGGTTCCATCTGGACCAGCAGATGGCATAATGGTTACGTTACTGGACTCCCACGTTGTGGACCGCAGTTTGAGTCCTGGACCCAGTGGTTTAAAACTCACGCCAGGCACATGTGCTGGCGTGAAGATCTCTGCTGACCTAACACAACCACTTGCAGCCTGTAAGATGGTTCTTGTGCAACACCCTGACCTGCTCCAATGACCCCCTGTCCCCTGCCCTACTAAGCCTGGAGGGAATGGGCTGCAGCTGCATCCACGGCTCCCACTCTTTCAAAAGCAGAGGGTTGGCCTCTTCTGCTGGTTACAAATGAATGCAGAGGGGCCAGCGGGTGGCATGGTGGTTAAGGGCGCTGAACTCCCCATGTGGTAGATTGCATTTCGGATCTGGTGGCTTGCTTTCTTACTTTCTCTCTCTCACTCTCCCTTGCTCTGTCCCTTTCTGGTCAAATTTAAATAAATAAGTAAATAAATAAAGTTAAATAAAATAATTATTTAATTTTTAAAAAGGCAGGACCATTCAAAGATGTTCCTTTAAAATGATATTTCTTCTTTCTACCTACTCTAGAAATATGACCCTAATGGATCCCTGATTTGGGACCCCTACAGGCAGCAGAGTGCATTTCACTTGGATACCGTCAACACCAGGCCAATGCTCACTGTTGGAGCAATACCACAGTTTTACTCCTGTTTTTCTCCACTAATTTCTAGCAACTGTGGATCTGAAATTAACATGAAATGCCAATCTGTCCTGAAAGTAATCAAAGGAATACCTACCGCGACCTGGGCAGAGTCGAGGAACTGGAGGCCAAAGTAATCTGTTTCCACAAGGTCCAAGTGGTACACAATCTGATCAAACAAATCCTGGCCTTTGGCATGCTTCTGCAAGACAATGGGTAGATGGAAACTTAGAGTGAGACAGCTGGATAAGAAACAAAAAGATATATCTATACACACACACACACACACACACACACACACACTAAAATAAATCCCAGTTCTTGCTGTAAACTGCAAACACGTACGTGTTGTCTCTGGGCACAAAAAGTTTTAAAATGTTAATTAGTTTTATTACAAGTGCAATGCACAATGGTGATTAAAGAACTTTCAATATCGTGTAATGGTATAACCCTGCTAACTCCTGCTCATTATACCTTAACAAAAAGAAGTTCCCTAGGTGACTGCCTGCAGGTGGCGGCAAGCTTTGCCAAAACTAGCCCTACAGAGGAGAGATTGAGAGAGAGATCTCTCTAACCAAGTGAGACCTGGGCCATTTCTCAGGGCAGGCAACCTTATGAAATCAAACTCAAGCTTTGGAATTGGCTCTTCCAAGCTTTGATTTCACAGAACAGGATTTGGGGGGTGGGAGGGACAAACAAAAAAAAAACAAAGATCTGCTTGAGGTCAGATACAAGAGAGCCAAGACTCAAACCCAACTTCCAGGTTCATTTGAGGGTTTGGAAGGTGTGGAACACCCATGGGGCATGAGCATATGGAAGGAGTCAGGGAGACAAAGGGTCAAGTCCTGCTGCTACTTCCTGTCAGGTGTGACCTTGGACAAGTCACCTTTATGCTCCCACTGCCGACTCTGTAAAATGGCCTAAGGAATCTGCTCTCCCACCTCTCTTGGAGAGATTTTCACTGTAGGGCGTGTGCACTCGCCAGACAGACAGAGAGAGACATAGAGACAGAAAGCGAGAAATCACCCCCCAGGGGGGATGATCACGCCGCAATCCCTTCTCCTCCATTCTCCTCTCGGGATCTTGGGCACACACGCACACGCGCCTGGTGTGAGTTTTAAGCCACCGGGTCCGGGACGCGAACTGTGGCCGACTATGTGGGAGTCCAGCGAAATAGCCATTACGCTAACTGCTGGTTCCCCTTTCCCACCTCTCTTTAGAAGGACCCAGAAGACAGACTTCCAATGAGAAACCACTGCAAGAAGTCTTTGATCAATGAAAAAGCTTAATCCTGGAGGACCAGCAGTTAGCATAATGGCTATGTCGCTGGACTCCCATGTAGCTGACTGTGGTTCAAGCCCCGGACCCAGTGGCTTAAATTCACGCTGGGCACGCGTGCGTGCGTGCCCAAGATCCCCAGAGGAGAATGGAGGAGAAGGGATTGTGGCATGGCCACCCCCCCGGGGGGTGATTTCTCGCATTCTATCTCTCTGTCTTTCTGGCAAGTGTACACGCTCTATAGCGAAAATCTTTCCAAAAAAAAAAAAAAAGCTTAATCCTCACCCAAGCCAAACACAGGGCACATATTCCAGACAGAAATTACATGACTACCAATGGATCTAAACACCAATAGGAAGGGACTTCAAAAAGCTCACATCATGGTGGTTAAGGTGCTAGATTCCCACAAGGCTGACCACGGTTTGAGTCCAGATCTGACAGCTTGCTTTCTCACTTTTCTTCTATATATTTCTTTCTGATCAATTTTTTAAAAAAATTTTTTAAATAAAATAAGATAAAATGATTCTTTTAAAAAAATGCTCATGGAGGGGAACCAGCAGTTAGCGTAATGGCTATGTTGCTGGACTCCCACGTAGTCGACCGCGGTTCGCATCCCGGACCCTGTGGCTTGAATCTCACGCCGGGCATGTGTGCGTGTGTGCCCAGGATCCCGAGAGGAGAATGGAGGAGAGGGGATTGCGGCGTGACCATCTCCTCTGGGGGGTGATTTCTCTCTTTCTGTCTCTATGTCTTTCTCTGTCTGTCTGGCGAGCGCACGCACCCTATAGTCATAAAAAAAACCTTTAAAGAAAAATGCTCATGGAGGAAAAAGAGAGGTCATGGAAAGTGGAATTAAAGTATGTGTTTATCCTGCTGCAAAAAAATGCTGAAATCAGTGCATAGCTTTTTCATAATACACATTTTCCACCAACTTTCTGAAGATCTGACATATATTGTCTAAGCATCATAATCCCCCCAAACAACAACTCCACAACGTGACCAAGGAACCAACTTCTCATTATGAAAACTGGTAGAGGGAAATCCAAAGGGATTCTGCCTTTGACTGCAGTGCTGGGTAATCAAAGAGCAGACACCAGCACATATTAGGTGGTCAGGAAAGTAATGACGTATTTTTCGACGTTTTTCTACGCAAAGATGGATCATGACTTTCCCGATGACTCAATACAAAACTTCACTGAACATCGTTCAAAGACCTAAATGTAGGAGCTAAAACCAGGAAACTTTCACAAAAAACCCGAGCACGAAGCTTCATGATCTTGGATCAGACAACGATCTCTTAGACATGGCTCATAAGGCACAAGCCACAAAAGAAAGAAATTAACTTGAGATTATCGAAATGCAAAGCTTTGTGCTCTAGAGAACATCAAGAAAGTACAGTCAACCCAGAACAGAAGAAAATGTTTGCAAATCATGTATCTGGAAAGGAACTTCCACCTAGAATATATAAAGAACTATTACAAGTTCATATGAAAAGGCAAATACCCAAGTTAAAAGTAGGTAAAAGACACATAGAAAGAGTTCCCCAAAGGTACATAAATGGTCAACAAACACACAAAAAGATGCTCGTCTCATTAGCAATGAGTGAAATGCAAATCAAAACCACAATCTGTTACAGGAGAAGGGATTGCGGTGTGGCCACTATTAAAAAAAAGAGAGAGAGAGATGATAACAAATGTTGGGGAGACCCCTCCTATACCACTGATGTGAACGTAATTTTTGTTTTTTTTGACAGAGAGATTTTTTGCTATAGGGCAATTCACTCACCGGAGAAACAAAGACAGAGAGACAGAAAGCAAGAAAACGCCCCTTGAGAGGATGGCGACGTCACAATCCTTTCTCCTCTCAGGGTTTTGGGCGTGCATGCACATGCACCTGGTCTGGGACTCGAACCGTGGTCGACTACGTGGGAGTCCAGTGACATAACCATTATACCACTTGCTGGTCCCTGTGAATGTAGTATGATACAGCTGCTTTGGGAGACAGCCTGATAGTTCCTCAAATGGTTAAAAACAGAATCATCATATAATATAGCAAGTCTAGGAAAGAGAAATGAAAACATATGTTCATACAATAACAGTGCACAAATGCTCACAGTAGTAACATTTGTAATATTCAAAAGGTGGAAACAACCAAATGTCCATGAGTAATGAATGGATCAACAAAATGCAGTTTATTCATACAACGGAATATTTCACCACAAAAGGAATGAAGTACTGATACATGCTACCACGAGGAAGAATCTAGAAAACATGTCAAGTAAAGAAGTCAGTCACAAAAGACCACATATGGTATAATTCCATTTATGAAAAGTGCCCAAAGTAGACCAATCTATAGAGACAGAAGGCTGGGGAGGTAGGGTGTGACTACTAAGGAGAGTGCAGTTTTGGAGGGGCTTAGGAGGAGATGAGATATTCTAAAATTGATTTGGTGATATTTGCACAACTGTGAATATACTAAAAGTCACTAAACTGTCCACTGTAGGTGGAAGGACTGTATGACATGTAAAGCTCAATAAAGAATATTTAAAAATCAGGAGTGCAGTTTTTCTTCATTGGTTTATCCAACAGATAAATGAGTAGGGGGCCAACCAGTGGCATTGTGGTGAATCTCACATGGCCAACTGCTCAGTTTGAGCCTCAGATCCAGCAGCTTGAAAAACACACCGTGTGTGTGTGTGTGTGTGTGTGTGTGTGTGTGTCCAAAATACTGAAAGGAGAAACTGGAGAAGGGACTGCGGTGTGGCCACCACCCATGGAGGATGCTTTGTCACTTTCCCCCGTCTCTCTCTGGGAAGCACACGTGCCCTCAGGCAGATTAAAAATAATAAAGTATGAAGAAGGAATAACAAATCCAGTATCATCACTCTACAGCGCCGACTGAGTAGTGGGCTTGTGGGCAGGCTTCTCTCTCATGGTAGGCAGTGATACAAGGGTGCCTGCCTTCTAGAAAGTCATTAAACCCTACCTCTATACACCTCTTCCTTTGTACACCTGAATTTGTGTAATACACAATGGCAATCACCAATACTAAGAATAAAAACTACATCATTGGGCCAGCAGCATGCAAAGGTCTGTGATGCTCAGACCACATGGGAAAGTCTCAAGTTTACATTCTGAGGTCTCCCTGTACACACGGGGCACACACGTGGCCCAAAGTCCTGGCTGGCTAAGGCTGGGGGGTGGATTGCAGCGTAAAGACCCTGTTGGGAGTGCTTTTCTTTCTCTGTTTCTCTGTCTCATGAAATAAATAAATATAAACTAAAAGCAAAACAAACAATGAACAAAACGATAACACTGGATTAAAGCCTTCAAGCTTTCCTTCCTGGAAGTACTCTCTGAAAGGGAACAACTCAGCTGACGCAGAGGCTGGGTGTGCAATGACTCTATGACACGATCTACTAAGGAAAGGAAAAGGCAGAGAGATGAACAACCTAATCTCTCAACCACAGGGACACAGAGCCATGGCATGTCAACACTCCAGAATATTGTCCATCCATTATAAAAGATAATTGATGACTGGATTGAAAAACGGTGCACATATAAATACTGTGGAATATTACACAGCGATAAGAAACAATGAGAACAATGAGATCCTTTCGTTTGACTCACAATGAATGAAGACAGCAGAGTTATCGTTGAGTGAAGTGAGCCAGGCTTTAAAAGATACACACTGTATATCCCCACCTACATTGTACTATCTGTACTTCAGGCAGAGGCTGAGCGATCTGAAGATGTGATGGCAGAGAGGATGGTTGTAGATGCTAGTGACAGTAAGTGGGGAAAATGATTGGTAGAGAGTGAGTGGTGGATGGTGGGTATGGAAAAAAAGAAAAAGATTATAAAAGATAAATTTTGTTTACAAGAGAAAAACAAATCAAAACTTTTTTCATATTTTCTGAAATAG